AGGGTGGGGCGGGCCGCTCAGGTTCCAGCAGGAGGGATGCTGCCCACCGGCCTCGTCCTGGACCCGGCGGTGACCTCGGCTGCCCTGACGCTGTTGGGGGCTTTGCCTCCCAACCCCAGACCTTCTTGGGCTTCAGTCCACGCTCTCCACCTCTGTTCTTGTTCCTGTCTCCATCACCGCGTCTCCTGCCACAGCCTACTTCTCTTTTTTCATTTCCTTAAAATCTGCTCCACAAACTTCTCTGCTTGCTTGGCTCAGTTTACCTACTCGGCTTCTTCATAGTCTTGCCTCACTTTCTTTTCCTTTGCTAAGATAGTCTGTTTTCCTGGCTGAATGCTGCCATGTTTCATCTGGCGATTTCCAATCCTAAGGGAAGTAGAAGTTGACAACGTGCCCTAATAGAGCCCAGGACCTGGGAACTAAAAGGCCTAAATTCAAGGCCTGACTTAATAGTTTCTAGCTGTGTTAACCTGAAGAAAGCAATTTCTTTATTTTTACCCTTGGTTTAATCATCTATAAAATGAGTTAATAATATCAGCCTTACCCACCTCATTAGGGTGTTGTAACTAAAAAAATTAAAATTAAAATTTCTGTAAAAGGGAAGGAAACTATTGAAATAGCTCTGCACTTCCACCCCACCCAATCCCAAACCAACATTTTTCAGAGGTGAAAATGACCACCCAGTGATGTCTAAAAGAGGAAAAGAAATTACACTACCTCTGAGGGATGTATTTGGGAAGATATGTGAGTATGTGGGGGGAGAAGGTGTAGTTTACACATAGTCTAACACCTGTCTCTTTCTGAAGAAGGGAAAGGAGGTGTATATGGGTTGACTGTTTACTCAACATTTATCCTGTACTATAAACCAGGAATTATGCAAATAACTAGAAATGCCTAAATAAAAACAAACATGTGCCTGCCATCAAAGGGTTAGCCTAGTGTGGAAGGTAAATTACTAGTACTAAGACCTTGAGCTCTGTCATTAGACTGGTTCAAGTGCTGGCTCAGCCACATTGTAGCTGTTTAAACTTAGGCAAGTTATTTATATCTCTCAGCCTCAGTGACCACAAATGACTATTGGAGTAATGATATTAACTCAGAATTTTATGAGGATTGAATGAGATTATGCATATAAATTGAGTTCCTACCCAGAGACCTTAGTGCATGTTTACCCTGCCCCCTCCTACTTTCTGCAGGCCCAGACTTGGGGGCCTGGCACCATGTGTGCCCATCTAATCCAGATCATGGGGGAAGGAGATTGTGGCCAGCAAGTGCCTACCATTGAATGGCAGGCAAGCAGTTCCACAACTCAAAGAGCAAGTTCCCGCTGCCCTACCTGGTCCTCAGTTGTCAGCACAAATCATGCTTCACCAAGAAGCCTAAAACCTTTTAGATGCAGGGCCTCCCTGTCCCCAGGTCTGCCCAAATAAACTATTTGGTGGGGGGGAATTAAAATTTAAAATAAAGCAAGTGCCTAGACTATGTCGAGCTCTTAATAAATGCTATTATCGTTAGCATAATTGAAAACAGAAACAAAGTACTATTGTAATAGGCAGTTAGACATGAGCAGAGCAAGGACAGTGGGCTAGGTATAGAAGGCCCTGGCCAGTTTTGGTCAGTGGTTAGAGTGTTGGCCTTCCGACTGAAGGGTCCTGGGTTCAATTTTGGCCAAGGGCACGTAACTCTGTTGCAAGCTCAATCCCCAGGCCTGGTTGGGGAGGGTATGGGAGGCAACCAATCGATGCATCTCTGTCACGTTAATGTTTCTCTCTCTCTCCCTTCCACTCTCTCTGAAAACCAATGGAAAAAAATATCCTTAAGTGAGGATCAAAAAAAAAGGATCATCAGGATGGGAAGCCCCAGGTGCCTAGCTACAGACAATTATAGAGTGAGACTTTGCCCCAAGGGTGGCCTTTCTCCCCCTAGCATATCTCTGGTCCTGGGGTTTGGATCCCCTGACCTTTCCTTCCTAGAGATAACATTTAGGCTTCAGTTATGTTTCAGCTCCAGGCCCAGAAGAGTAACAAAACCAGCCACATATGACTTCAGGACCAGTTGCATTGGATAATGACCCCTCCCGGGCACCAGCCAATCGATTCAGTGGAGACCACAACCCTGAAAGGACTAGAACCAACAGGACAGGGTATAAATCTATTCCCTCAGCCCTGGCTGGGTTATACAAGGCTGTGGGCTTGATATCCAGTCAGGGCTCATACAATAATCACCAGTGAATGCATAAATAAGTGGAACAGCAAATCTGTGTTTCTCTCTCCTCTCTCTAAAATCAATGTTTAAAAAAAATTTTTTTAAATCTAACTTATTAATATAACTTAATATGTTGTACATGTTCATGACATACATATAGGAGAGTCCTGTTTTTAACTTTTAAAATTATACATTGCCAAAGTACATAGTTGAAAAGTAGAACTTATGTGCTTGAGATTATTTGTGCTAAAACCTGGGAGGAGAAAGTGCATAGTGTGAAGGTGAATAGTGTCAGAGCTTTTACTGAACAGTCTGCTGAAACTGGCTTATACCAGCTCATGAGAACCAACTTCCCGGCTCTGTGTTCTGTGTTTGGTTACTTGAGGATAGCTTGTAATCGCCCATTGTAACATCAGGGCTTTCTTTCCTGGAGCGCTGGTTGTTAAACATTTTCTAGCATACACTGTAAGATGGGTTAAAGGGTGATGAGATTGCAAATGCATGCACATTTTTTCATAGGCAATGTGAAGCCATGGAAGACTTCTACAGAGAGTGAATTTGGGGAGAATGATTGGGTTTCTGCTTTAAAAAATATTTGCTGATACTTACGCTGGCAGTACAGAGGACGGATCATGATGAGAAGAGAGTGGAGGCAGGAAGGTCATTGAGAATGCAGTGGCATTATTTCAGGTGAGAGGTAAGGCAGTATCAGTAGAGATGAAAGAAAGTCCAGGACGGCTTCCAGAGATTAAGTCAAGGATTGGAGTTGAAGGTAGAGGTTCCTAGCTTGGGGCATTGTGTGGATCCTGGGGCACACTGCTAATTGAGGTAAGTCATGTAGGTGGAATAAGCATTTTGGAGATAAGATTCAGTTTTGGTTTTGTTGCCTTTAAGATTATTTTAGGACATCTGGGTAAAAATATTCCAGTTACCGTTGGGGGTGAAATTCTGGTTTAGGATTTACCAGCCTTGAATGATAGCTGAAAGCCAAGAACAAAAACGATCCTGATCAAGGAGCATGCAAAGGAAAGCAAAAAGAGAAGTTTGAATGTTGTAAAAGGGCTGGTAATCAGGAGAAACCGGATTGAAAGAATGGGTTTTAAAAGATAAGAGAGAATAGGCATGATTGCTGCTCTATGACGTAAGACTTATAAAATATTCTTTACGTATTTATAGAAAGGGATTTTATCAAGTTAAGATCAGAGAAAATAGAATGACTAAAATTTGACCTAATTTTGGACATTGCATGACTTTTTTGAAACGAAGGGATACAGACACCAATGGAACAGAGCGCGCGGCTTGAAGGAGTTCGCCGTTTAGGCAAGTTAAGAGAGTGAGCGTGTGTTAGGAGGGGTGGGGGTGTGGGGGGGTGAGAACCACTACCAGGCGCTTGACTTTATAACTTGCCCTTCATAAACAGCTCTGCAAGGAGGTGTTATTATCTCGTTACACAGACGAGGAAACGGGGGCGTGGGGAGGTTCCCTGGTTTGCCCGGCCATCCAGGGGCAGAGCCAGCAGCTGAGCAGGAGCTGGAATCCCAACCCCGCCCCTTCACCCCTCCCTGACTTCAGCCGCAGTCCCCACTCAGAAGGTGTAGAGATTCATTTTGCCAACACGCGGGAAGGGCTCAGAGCCGCTCACCCCTCCCGCTGGCGCGTTCATCCGCCGCCCTCGCCGCGCGCGGGGCTGCACCGCCGTTTCCCGGCCCGTCCGCGCTCCGGTCCCAGGCTCGTTCTCTGAGCCGGGAACACACCCGGGAGTTGGCCGAGCGCCTCCGAGGGGCCCCCTAATTTTAGGAAGGGGGACGGAGAGCGAAGATTACTTTAGATAAGAAAGATACAGAGCTGTGTCCTGAAGGACAGACAGACAAGTGCCATGTGTGCGCGCGAGGACAGCAGCGGGCGGCAGGCGGAGCGGCCTGTTTGTAATTCAGGGCGGTCGGGTCCTGCAATGGGCTGGGCGCCGGCGGGGACTGAGGCTGCAGCCAGCTCCCGTCTCACACCAGGCTCACCATGTGTTCTGCGGTTTTCTTTAAAGTACATCTTTACTGATTTCAAAGAGAGGGAGAGGGAGAAACACCGATGACGAGAGAGTCACTGACCGGCTGCCTCCTGCACGCCCCCTGCTGGGGGGTCGAACCCGCACCCCGGGCCTGTGCCCTGACCGGGAATCGAACCCGGGTCTC